GGCGACGGTGTGCTCTGCCGGCTGCGCATGACCACCTGCCGCTGCTGCGGCGTCGCTCGTCGCTCTGCTCGCCTCAGCTCCTCGGGCGACAGTCGGGTAATTACAACCCGGGGTTGGCTCAGGAGTTGCGCGCGCACCGTTTTAGTGCACGGCTTCATAGTCACAATCAAAAATGCACAGAGCACACGTCGTGCGTCTGATCACTGCGCGGCCATTTGTACGACTCTGAATATCGCGAGGAAGACGTTGGCGATGAGCGCGCCCGTGCGTGCGCAAGCTGCCGCGGTGATCGAGCGTTGATACCCGATTGATGCTGCCATCTGATCGGACGGCGCAACGTTAACGGAATCTCGAACATTCCGCCCGCCATCAGCAACCTTGTTGATGATTCCTTACTCTTGATCCTTCATCCGGTTGAAATGGGTAATATGGCAAACTTGGCACTTGGCCGAGTGAGTGTCGTGGTGGCCGTCTTGAGGGTAACCACCCTGGTGAGTCCATCCTTGCCGGGGTGCAAAGCTGTTACTCTGGTGAGTGGCCATTTGCACGGTGGAGAGCGTTCGTCGGTGAGCAGCACGATGAAACCCACCTTGATGTTGTTGTTAGGATGATGCCACTTGGATATCGCCTGCTGGCGTTGCAGATAATGAGCTGACCATTGTGCCCAAAAATGTTGAACACGCTGCTGGATGAGCTGCCACCGAGATAGTCGTGAGGTTGCTAGGTCAATCAGAGATAGTTTGGGTATGGTAGTGATTGGACCTCCAATGAGGAAATGACCTGGCGTGAGCGCTGAGACGTCTTCAGGGTCGTCACTCAACGGTTCTAAAGGCCGCGAGTTGAGAATGGCCTCGATTTGCGTAAGCAACGTTGTGAGTTTTTCCGTCGTGAGTAAAGTCTCCCCGATAGTCCGTTTCAGATGAAACTTCACGGATTTCACCACCGCCTCCCACTTGCTCCCCATGTGTGGAGCGCCTGGTGGGTTGAACTCCCATATGGTGCAATTACGTTGTAGAATTTGAGCGATTCGTTGATGTTCTTGGGAACTCTGGATGAACATTTTCTTGAGCGCGGCGTCTGCTCCAATGAATGTTGTCCCGCAGTCCAAATACATGGTCTGAGCAATTCCCCTTCTCGCTGAGAATCTTGGGAAGGCTGCTATGAATCCTTCTGATGAGTAGTCACTGACTACTTCGAGGTGAATTGCGGAGGTAGAGAAGCAGACGAACACACAGATCCATCCCTTGTAGGTTTTCGCACCTCGTCCCTTCCATGTCTCGATGGTGAGCGGTCCGGCATAGTCGACTCCTGTATGAGTAAACGGACGTGACGGTGTAACCCGAGAGAGAGGTAGTTGGCCCATCAGTTGATGAGCACGGATCCCCCTCTGCCGAGCACACACGACACACCGTAAAATATGAGACTTCACCGGAGCCCGTCCGCCGATGATCCAGTATTGTTGCCTGACATGAGCCAATGTCAGCTGTGTTCCTCCATGCAGGGTACGCAGATGGGCGTGGGCAATGATCAAGGTTGAGAACCGTGAGTGGCGAGGCAAAATCGCCTGATGTTTGTTGTCTTGAGCTAGTGCTGATTGGTTGAGGCGGCCGCCAACTCGGATAATCCCTTGAGCGTCTATATACGCAGTCAATCGACTGAATGCGTGAGCAGTTGGTAGTCTCGAGTTGGCCGTGAGCATTTTGATCTCATGCGTGAAGTATGCCGCTTGAGTAGCCTTGATCCAGAATAATCTGGCCTCCTCCAAAGCTGAGTGCCAGTCTAGTGACTTGTATCGGCGCTTTCTCAGAAGCGATATGAACCTGAAACAAAGAGCTGTTATTTTCAATAATTTATTGAGAGTTGAGTACCTATATATAAGGTCCCAGTGGTAGTCCGGCTGAGATGCGGCCGCATGTAGCGCAATGCCAGGACGAGCCTCATGCGCGCTCAACTCGTCCAAAAGCGCAGGTTGTGATGGCCATGCTTCAGGGGTGAGTATCCACGGTGGTCCTATAATAAGTGGCTTTGGAGTTGAGCAGTGTTTAATCCTCGTGATGCGCAGTCGGCTGGGTTGGATGTACCTGGTACGTATTTTCAATGTGCGTTCGCAGTGAGCTCTTGAACTTGAGAAACTCGACTTCTCACAAAATCCTTCCAGCGCAATGCATGAGATTTGATCCACGTGAGTGTCACAACAGAGTCCGTCCACAGGTGAGTTTCTGTAACGTTGAACTTCAAGGTGGCTTGAACGTATTGCATGAGTCTTGAGAGCAGCAGTGCTGCGGTGAGTTCAAGTCTCGGGATGGTGAGCCGCTTGAGCGGTGCTACCTTTGTTTTGGAGCACACCAATGAAATCGTGGCACCATTAGAGCCGTGGACGGTGATATATACGACTGCAGCCATTGCTAGTTGAGAAGCATCAGAAAAGCCGTGAAATTCCACTGTCGAAGTACTTCATGGATTGTACCACCGAGGTATTGAGAGCTTGATCAAGCTTGTGAGTTCTTTTCTGATAATGAGCCACCGTGATGAGAGCTGGGATGGTAGTGGTTCATCCCATCGGAGCTTTATGTAGCCAAAGCTCCTGCAAGAGCATCTTCGCCTTGATCACCCCTGGTGATGCAAAGCCCAGTGGATCGAATATCTGAGCCACTTCAGACAAAACGAGGCGTTTGGTGAGATGATCGGTGTGCGACGAGATCCTTGTTGAGAATGTGAATGTGTCTTCTTGAGGAAGCCATCTTAATCCGAGTATTTTGTTTGGGACATCGTCAAATGCAATTTGTGAGCCCTGCTCTTTCGCTGCTTGAACCGCAGTGAGCACATCTTGATGAGTCGCGTGCCACCTTGCTTATGGGAAACCGCCCGCCATGCACAAGTCCGCTGAGCAGTATTGAAGTTTCTATTACCTGCTGAACGGTGGCGGCGCCTCCAAAATGTCGTCAACATCTCGACCTTGAATGATTGGCGGTACTGCGAGGGGAAAACTGTGACCTTCATCCTTCTCCAGTTACAACAGTGTTTGTACTGATAAGAACGGGGCAGCGTTGATCCCATAGGTGACCGTTGTGAGATAATGTGGCACTTCATTGAGCTGGTCGTCTATCCGGAGAACCCGTTGTAAATTCCAGTCATCTTCATGCACGTTAATCTGCCTATACATTTTGGCGATGTTAGTGGCAACTACCTGTCGAAATTGTCGAATCCAGAGTAAAACATCGGTGACGTCTAAATGCTGTGATGCAGCTTGGCTCCTGGTAGATGCACTCAAGCCATTAAATACCACACGTAATGTTGTGGTTGCACTGTCTGGTTTGAGCACTCCATGATGTGGCAAGTAATTTTGTATATGCTGACTGGAAACGGGTGAAGCCTTCTTCATGTGATTGAGCTCTCGATATTCTGTCATTAACTGATGATACAAACGTCGATAGTTGTCATCTCGGGAGAGTCTTCTTAGTAAACTTTTCAAGCATCGATGCGCAGTGAGATAAGAATCGCCAAGAGTATCAGGTGATGATTTTAATGGAATCCAAACCGTGTATCGACCGGTTGAGTCCTGTGAAACAGTGGTCTTTAAAGTATTCTTCACATCTTTGCTCGTCAGGAGTGAGATCATGATTGGTACTCGCAGGCACTTCTTCTTGTGTCCAAAATTTCGACAATAGCTCGTCGAGAGCATCTTCTCTCTCCTGAATTGATGCATGATGCACTGCAGCAGATGCCGGTGATGATGTGTCGACCGGCACAAGAACGAGCCATCCGAAAATTGAGAGCTGAACAATTGGCATCAATGGATCTTGTTTGATGATGTTGGGCTTAATGATCTGTCCATATGAGTCAGCTCCAATGATAATATCCACTGGCTGTAGTGTAAGGACATCTGGATCGGCCAATGTTAACTGGGTGAGATGCGGCCAATCCTGTGGTGCAGTGTTGAAGGATGGCAGGATGTTCGCTGACGCCTGCAGAACGTGAGCTTGAATAATGACGTCTGATCTTGAGTGAAGTGAGCGGAGCTTAAGCAATGCAACTCCTCGAGTTTGCGTCGCCTTTCCGCCACCAATTCCAGGGATGAGAATGACGGAATGATGACGAGTGATGTTGAGCTGGCAAACGAGAGATTCTGAAACAAAGGTAAGTTCTGAACCTGAATCAATGAGAGGCCATACGCATTGAGTATGAACAGATGAGCTGATCTGAGCCAGGGCCGTAGCTAGTAACGTTGAGTGTGGTGAGCGGGCCAAAGAAAAGTGAGCAACGATTGCACCATTTTCCCATTGAGCTGTCGCAGTTGAGCTGGTGGTTGGCTTCGTTGATGAGTTCGACTGATGAGCCTCATGCAGCATCGTGTGATGTCGGTTGGTGCACTTCTTGCACCCCCGTGAGCCTTTACATGAGTGGACGTTGTGTCCGGAGATGAGCTGAGCGGGTGTGCCTTCAAGTGAGAGTCGCAGATAATGAAGGTTTTCCACGTTGGTGAGGCGTCGGTTGTCGTAGATAACGGCCTTGAATAGGTCGCGAGACGTGGGCCATGCAGCGTAATTGCCCTTGAACGACGGGATGTTGATGTCCGGCAGCCGCTGAGTGTCACGCGAGGACTGCGATGGTTTGGATATGCGCCCTGATCTTCGCAATAACGCGACGTGCAGCCATATAATAGCGCCGTCGTGGAGTGAACATTGTTTTTAAGCATTCATGTTGTATGAGCGCCGCCGGCCAAGTAACTTCAAAATATGCGTGCTCCTTGAGAAACGCTTTATGCACCTTCTCGAGATGCATTGAGATGTAGAAAATCTTCTCTAATGACGTGTCCTTTGCATAAGATGGTGGCGTCTCGCGCGTCTCGCCAGTATTCCGCACCGTCGCCAGTCGGTTCATTTAGGTGAGGCTTGGCGTTCCGATGTGCGAGCCGGTGGTACCTCGAGCAGCGGCGTTGTGGTCTCCGCACCGCCCGTACCCGCCTTTGCGGGTTCCGTCATGCTGAGCCGTCCCTGAGCTGCGCACGATGAAATATCTGAGAAATGTCGAGACACGTGTAAGAAATGCTGCACGAACCGAGAACGTTCGAGAGACGCGTGAGAAAAACACTATGCGAATCGAGAGTCGTTACGGTCATGTATTGAGCACGTGAAAATGTCTATTTACACTCGCGGGAGCGCGTGAACATGTTTGTGTAACACTCGCGAGCGCGCGTGAGAATGTCTGTACTTCACTCGCGGAAGCGCGCGATAATATCCACGTGGCATGTCGTGAAAGGCATGCCCTGTTCACATGATCTGTGTCCGAGCTACACTTTAAGTTCCACGCATCCGGCTCGAAAGACCAAATGTTCGCGAAATCGCTGATTAATCCCGGCGATGGAAGCGGGATGAGAAGGACGCGCGTGGAAGGTGTTAATTAATTATTCTGTAATATAAAATGTAACTCAGAACACAGTCTGAGCCGTCTTTAATACGGGAATAGATATATACAGTCTGACCTGAGAGTGGTGGGCAGTCTTTCGGAGTTCACTAAACATAAGAAGTCTTTGTATAAGAAGTCTTTATATATCGTTCGTGAGTGGGCGAGGCAGTTATATTAATTGCCCTCTTCGTGATGATTAGCCCGTGAGCCGGTAAGACACGTGGCGGTCGGCACTCGCGCATGTGAGCCTGAGTCGTCGTGTTGATGTACCCGAGTAGAGCTGGATGAGCGGTCGCTTTACATGTTAATGCAGTATCTCGGCAGCTGTAATCACTGCGGTGGGCACTTCAATGTGTAGTCACAATCAAAAATGCACAGAGCACACGTCGTGCGTCTGATCACTGCGCAGCCATTTGTACGACTCTGAATATCGCGAGGAAGACGTGGGCGATGAGCGCGCCCGTGCGTGCGCAAGCTGCCGCGGTGATCGGGCGTCGATACCCGATCGATGCTGCCATCTGATCGGACGGCGCAACGTTAACGGAATCTCGAACAGTAGTTATACAAATTTTTTCAGCCTATTTGGCGAAGCGGGATACTGGGCAACGCGCGGAATAGGTTGCTCCATGGTGGAAGTCCTCCAGGTCGTAAAATGTGTCTGAAACATCGAATCAATCGATTTTCCTGTTCAGTACAAATGTCCCTATAGAGTAGACTACACAATCATCGATATATGCAATATTTAATTTTTTATAAGCAAAAAAGTATAGAAAATTTAGTGAAAAAATTTTTCTCTTTGAACTGCCGCCATTTTATGAATTTTTATTCAAAATAATTTTTTTTAGTCTACTCTATAGAAACTTGTACTGAACAGAAAAATCGATTGATTCGATGTTTCAGACACATTTTACGACCTGGAGGACTTCCGCCATGAAGCAACCTATTCCGCGCGTTGCCCAGTATCCCGCTTCGCCAAATGGGCTGAAAAAATTTGTATAACTATTTAAAAGTATCATAAATATAATCCAAAAGTATTGAATAATTTATTTTGTTTACTTTCTCCACAAAAAATTCACAAAAATCACCTATTTTTTGGTCCTACTGATGCGAATGGACCCTTAACCTTAAAATTAGAATTTTCATAAAATCAATACTTTTAATTGAATTAATTTACCACATTGCGGATAAAAATATCTTGAGTCATTATCGATGACAATGTTTGGAAATCCTGCCACACAACTGTGCTGAGCCATCTCCGTTTCATCAACAATAGTTTCGCAAACATCACATGTATTTACCAAAACTTGTTGAAATTAAATTTATTTTTTCAATATATTTATATATTCAATATATATAAATAATTTTACAATAGTATGTAATTGATTAAAAATTACTACGTTACTATAGATACTTACATCGAATGAATCCATTTCGCTTTTTGAACGAACCGACATGACACTTTGACGCTAGAAGTTGGAAAATCTGAACTTCTTTAGCGTCGACGCAGAAACAACATGATGTCACAAAATCGTCTTAACGCGCGTCAACTGACGCCTATGAAATCGTACCTTAACGCGCTTTTTTCGTAAAAAAGATAGTTACGGAGGCCCGCAGCAATGGCAAAATAGCCCTTGCTTCTTCGCTTGACATTAGAAATGCGTTTAATTTGATCAAATTACTCGCGATTAGGAGAGCTCTTCGGACAAAGGGATTCCCACGATATCTTCGTCGAGCATGGTGCCGGAGGCTCAGGAGGCGGTGCTTCTCGCGCTACCGCCGATACCGTTGTTGTCGGCTCTCGATATGCCGATCCTGGCACCCACGCCACCGCCGCTCATGGAGGAGATCATAGCCGCCATGGACTATGATTTCCCGATCGGTCCGGAGGATCAGCCTTCGGACGACTATCAGAGTCCATCCAGCGACGACGAGGGGGACGACGAAACATGGAAGCCCAGCGCGTAGGGCGAGCGAGGCAGGCTAAAAGATCCGAAGCG